TTGGATTATTGCGCCTATCTTTCTTCCACATAAGCTCCCCCTTAGACCCCTTGACATGGCCAATTAACTACCATGGTCGAGTCTGTAAATTGACCACCCCTCATGTCAAAAAGTGAAGAAGTGCATGGACCTAAGGGAAACTGCGTTAAATTGTCTCCAAACCCCACCTCAAAACCCTAATTTCTCCATTCCACAACTTCATTACTTAGGCTTTCTCAATGGTACGTTCAACAAGCTTTTGAGGTGTCCCTCCCCTAAGTGGATGCATTTGTATAGGAGGAATTCCACATAGTTTTCTAGTTGTGATATATGCTTCATCTTGAAGCTTTCAATTTTCTCTATCTTTATTTTAGCATTGTTGAGGTATTTGGTCTTCATCTTGTCTTTGGCATCGAATTTTATCCATTCACATGATTCACCACTAGCTGCAAGTCAGTTTTCACCAAAAGGTGCCAAGCAACCAACTCATAAGCGAACTGCAATCCGACAATTAGAGTTTTGCATTCAGCTTGATTTTTGGTGACTTCGAATCCAACTTCGACTGATTGATAAGTGTGGTCCCCAGTTGGATGATTCAAAATTAGACTAAGCCTTACCCCAATTTGACTAGATGCTCTATCAATGTGTAAGACCCATGTAGGGCTGTAATCAACACTTCTTCGCCAGACTCGCTTGGTTAAAAAAAAATTGGCTATGAAATTGACTATGGCATATATTTTGATGTCAATTTGGGGCACAAAAGAGATCAAATTCATTGAGTTCCACTGCCCATTTGAGAAGCCAACCAGAGTGCTTTGGCTTGGTGAGGACATACATGAGCAAATGGTTGATGATGATCATGAATGAATGTGTCTGGAAATATGAATGAATCCTACAGGTACAAACAAATGAGAGTAAGCATTAATATTTCAATAATCAAATGCTTGAGCTCGGTGTCTTGAAGGACTTAGCTGAAATAGTAAATCGTGAAATACTTCACTAGCTTTTCTCGAACTATAATTAAGTTAACGGCCTCAGATTTGACCCCTAGTTATAGAGAAAGCTCTTCGTTCAGCTTTGGGTTCTGGAGGAGAGTTCGTGATGCTAGTGGGACTTTTAGATTTTTTAACACTTGTTTGCATTCATCCGACTAAAAAAAAATTTTTGCTCACCTCAAGGTTTTGAAAAAGGTAGCGCACTTGACGCTTGATTTTGGGATGAATCAGTTCTGGCCCGCCATCCGCTTGATTATTTTTTGCACTTCTTTGGTCTTTCAAGAGGATAAAAAGCTCATAAGTGCCTTCACTTTTCTTGGATTGGCCTTTATTTCTGTTCGTTCAGCTTTGGGATCTAGAGGAGAGTTGGTGATGCTAGTGGGTCTTTTAGCTTTTTGAACGCTTGTTCACATTCATCCAAGTAAACAATGTTTTTTGCTCACCTCAAGGTTTTGAAAAAGTTTGTGCACTTGTCGCTTGATTTTGAGATGAATTGGCTCAGGCCCACCATCAGGTCAAATAATTTTTGGACTTCTTTGGTGTTTCAAGATGATGACATGTTGATCAACGCCTTCACTTTTTTTTGGATTGGTTTTTATTCCCTTCGAGGCTAGGAGGTAGCCTAAGAATTTTTCTACGGATGAAGGTGAACTTGAGGGAGTTGAGCATCATATTAAATTTTCTAATTGTCTCAAAAATTTCATTTTAGATTTTTTATGTGTTGCCCAGGCGTTTCATTTTTTTACCCAAACATCATCGACATACTCCTCGATCTTTTTTCATTACTGTTTTGTAAAGATTACATCCATCATTTGTTGGTAGGTAGCGTTGACATTTTTTACCATGAAGGGTAGTACTTCATACCAGTACACTCTATCACTAGTGATGAATGTAATTTTCTCCATATCGATCAGATGCATTTTGATCTCGTAGTAGTCGAAGAATGTGTCAAGGAAGCTCATCAAGGAATAGTCGATTTTTGCATCCATGAGTGTGCCGATCTGATGCATGGGATAGTTGTCCTTCGGGTAGGTGGTGCTTCAGTTGGTGAATTCCACACATATCCTCTATTTTTCAATTGACTTATGTACCATGAAAATTTTGGACACCCACGTCAAGTGCGAAACCTCGCAGACATATCCAACCTTCAATAGCTTCTAAACCTCCTCCTGAATCACCCTGACCAGAGTGACGAAAGATGACCATGTTTTTTTTTCTTCATCAGTCAATCAATTGACATGACGTCCTAGCGGTGGCATGCTACATCATCAGTATCCCTGATACTTTGATGGAGGACCAGGTGAAAATTTCTAGATGGTCTGGGGGTATCAATCGTCACATCTTTTGACCTACATCAAAAGCTTCACTTATCAAAAAATATTTACCAATCTTTCTCTTGATTATCGAAATCTAATGGGTGATCTCATTGGTCTCAAGATTCCCTTCACACAGATTGTTGAGCTTGAGAGACTCCCGCTCGATGCTTTCGACCACCCTGAGGTAATAGGTGCAAGACTGCTTAAGATAATCTCGGACAGTGATTACCTCCCCTTCACCTGTAACCTTCATCATTAAATGATAATTCGAGGTGACGGGCTCAAAGGAGTTGATTAGAGGATGGTCAAAGATAGTGTCGTATGTGAGCGGTGAATCGATCACTAGGAAATCCTCCATATTGGTGAATGCTCATCATTCTCTCCCCAAGTGACTGACAAAACGTTGATTTATAATGCTTCCTTTCTTTTGCAAGAAAACCATAGAGTAGTTCTATCACCACTATCAATTGGTCATTGCCTAGACCCATCTAATCAAATAGTGACTTAAACAAGATGTTCACAAAACTAGCAGTATCGATGAGAATGTTACCAATCTGATAGTTGCCTATCAATTTAGTGACTACAATGGCGTCGTTGTAGAGATTACTCCTATGGGGAATATCTTCATTGGTGAAGGCTATGAGGGGGTGAGAGCTACATTTGGGAAAGAGGGTTGTTGCACATAGTTCTTCAGACCAAAGCCACTTCGTGATGGCTCAGCAAAAAAAGTCTCCACCTCCACCAATGATACTAGTAATTATGTCAGCAATGTGAATTACATGGGCTCGAATTAACTCTCAAAATATTTCTACCAATGGAGTTTTCCCTTGCCACTTGGTTGTTGCTCTTGATGCCACAAACTCCATAAGTTTCTCAGTCTTGATCAGCTCTATGATCAAGTCTCGGAGTTGTTAATCTTACTTTGTGTCGTGCCTATGGTCCCAATCGTAGGCACAAACTTCATGGAGACCCAGAGATAAGCTATGATTTTCATCGATGGTGCTCTATTGAAATAATCTTTATTTTGAATGGCCTTCACCATCTCAACCATAAAACTCTCAACAAGAGTATCTTGGGTATTTCATGGTAAGGCAGCGGGCAGGTCAAAAAGCCAAGTCTGACTCACTCTTTGATATATCTTTTTGGTTTCCTTATGGTCTCGAGCAGCTGGGTGTCTTTGTAGCGAGGGCAAGCATAAGAATGTGAATCAAGCCTCAGTCTCCACCCTCTTCATGGGGAGCCCACTTATATGGACGACGAATGGAGGACTTTACTTTAGAAGAAACGAGATTGGAGTTAAACTCCTTGGCCGATATATGTTTATTAGTTAGCTCCAACAGGTTAGTCAGCATCATCGACCGTTACAGACCCAACATGTACTAGAAGGGTCCTTCCTTCATTCTTGAGCTAGGGCAGCAAGAGCTATTGTGTGCTCTAGGTTCCGCACTTCCAACATCTCCTTATGGAGATGTGTGATGAATGAGCTAAGGCTTGCACTCTATCCTTTTCAGATCTATAGGAGGGTCAGCGAGTTTTTTTAGGCTTTTAGGCAGTGCAAATTATACTACAAACAATCGCTTGGAATCAAAAAACAATGTGATTACTCGTGGACTGATATGAGTAGGGCACTTGATCGATAAAAAAGAGAAGGCCAGTTGATATGATCTAACTATTAATCTTTGACCCCTGATAAGGGCCATCTGGATCTCCCTGAAGTGGTTGGAGATGCTAATGAACCGGATCTTCCCTGGATCGGCTAGTTCGTATATCCTCCGATCATTTTTTGTCTATCTCATGATTCAGCAGCTTTAGCTCGAACAACTTCCCTCGATCAGTAAAATGGGCTGCATAATCTTTTATTAGTGTGCCCTCTTTCATCATTCTCTTTTCTTGTGGCCCATCAAATCCCCTCAGGAAAGGCACTGGCTCATTTTTTATGTACAATAATATTTACAGACCAAAGCTAAATGCAATAATATTTTTAATATAAATTTACAACAACCTAATTTGTATGTATTGTAGTGAGGATGTTATGCTAGTAGAGTTGCACCATTAAGATACATGCAAGAACTCAAATGTACATAACTTTCTACACAAAAATAAAATTATATATGCATGTTAATTAAAATATGAATATATACATAACAACTCATGGAACTTGCTCAAAGTTCTTAATCCAAATTAAAAGTGATCGATAAATCTTTTAGTGAACCCATCATTTGGATAAGTTCCACCTATTAAGGGGTAAAAATTAAAGACCTAATACATTTAAAGATTCCCTAAGGGGTGTTTGATAGCACAGTTTTAATAAGATTTAGGACTGAATTTAGGCTAAATCCAATCAAACACCAAATAAAGCAAAAATTAAATCTAAACGCACGTTACTCTACATGTGTAGTACTGATGTAATATTTTTCCACATCTGAAACCCACTCATCTCAATATTTGTATGAACTCTTAAAACCACCCAGATGTCAAGGATAAATCAACTTCAAAACCATGCAACTTAGCTAAGATGGAATATTTATTATCCATTGAACGAGAGCTTCCAATAATGTTTGAATATTTACACACATGACGGTTACATTTTCTAGACTATTAAATATTATTAAAAAAATGCTAAAACTTGGATCAAGTGCACTAACAAAAATCAAAGTAAAAAAGTATGAATCAAACGAATCTTTGACACTAAAAACAAAAGACAAAACAGGCCATGTATTTTATAAAAAAATAACAAGTGGAAAACTATTACATCTAAAATATGTCAAAGAAATGTTTTATTATTTACAAGCGTACGCTTTTTTCATGAAATGTAAAAATTTTCCACAGAAGCTTTCAAGAAACAAACTTCACCAAGGCTTAAAGAGCTGCTCAAATTTATTGCTACAATCAAAACCTCAACAGCATATAAGAACTGGATGTGATAGTGACACTACAATATTTCCTATTTCAATCATTAACACCTTGAGAAAAAAGTTGATATGCAGCATTGACACGTTGTATGATGGCATTATTGTCTCTTGAAGGCCTGATATAACAAAACAAGACAATGTATTGGAAATTATAAAATCCATGGAAGCAATTATTAGGAACTAATAGTTTGGACTATGGACCAGCAAAACTCACATCAAAGTTCTTTGATGCTTCCTTAATTTGTTCTGCTACTTCTTGCTTTGTCTGCTCAGCTGCAAAAAATTTGGAAGCACAGCTAGTTAAGGTATTAGTTCACTGATATGTCACTAATATGTCTCATTGGGTCAGGTAAATATAATGTATTTTACTTACAAAGATGTAAATCGTACCTTTAATGGACAAATCCTGCAACGTTTTTGATGTCTTTACAGCAAATCTTTGAAATGATAGACTGTACAATGGAGAAAAGAGAAAGAATCATCAAAGATTTGATTAATTTTGTATTATTTGATATTTGTTCATCAATAACCCAAATGCAGGCACCTTTAGTTATGTTTTTGAGTCCTTTTTTCTTTTTTCCAAAAAACATTCGCATATTTGATGAGTTGCTTCTGTATATTTAATGTGTTCCAAATATTTAGATTTCAATTGACATCAATTTTGTTTTTTGTTTTCTTCTTTTATTTTTTAAAGCATGTTTAGTTTGTATATATATATATATATATTTTTTTTGGTTTGATATACACAAATCAAATTGATTTTAAAAGCACTCAAAACCCCTAAAAAGTACAAGTGTTTTGAAAAATAACTATCATAACCGAACATATTTTAATTCAAATCAAAACATAAATAAAATAAAATAATAAATCATAAATGAAACCACAACAACAAAAAACCTTTATCTCGCTTAGTGGGATCGGCTATACATGAATCCTGTTCTCCATTGTGTCCTATTGAGAGTCATATTTTCATTTAATTCTAATAAATTAAGATAATTTTTTATACAATATGTCTAATTCTTTCTAGGTCTACCTCTGTCTTTCTTAACATAAGTCGAATCTAAAACATCTACTCTCCAACGTTTAATGTAACCAAACCATCTAAGAAGACTCTAATTTTGTCCGTCACTGGAGCTACACCAACCCTATCACGGATATATTCATTTCGTATTTCTTAAGTGAAAAGCCACTCATCCACCTAATCATACTCTCCTCTCAGCAACGCTTAACTTAGTTTTCCGATTCTCTTTTAAAAGCCAACATTCAGCGTCATAGAGCATTGCATGTCTCACCACCATCTCATCAAATTTTTCTTTCCGTCTAAGCGGTACTTTTCTATCATATAATAGGCGTCGAAGCATTCCTCCACTTCAACCAACCAACTTGATTTCTACAAATAACATCCCCATCAAGATCACCATCACTTCGAACAATAGACCCGAGATATCTAAAGCATTCACACCTTTAAATAATTTGATCACCCATAGTTATAATTTTATCACTCGAGCTACTCCTAATAAAATTACAATCCATGTATTTAGGTTTAGTTCTATTCAAAAAAAGACATTTAATCTCCAATGTAGACCTTCATAATTCAAGTTTTTTTTCTGAGCTTTCTCTCTAGTCATATCCACAAGAAGGATATCATCAACAAAAAAGCATACACCAAGGTACATCCTCCTTTAAATGTCCAATAAGAGCATCCATAGCCAAAGCATAAAGATATGGGCTTAAAGCTGATCCCAGATGTAATCCAAAAGAAATAAGAAATTATTTGGTCAATCCTCCTCCTTATCGAACACAAAAATCTCTAGTATACATATATTTAATGACTTGAATAAAAGTCATATCAACATTTTTCTTCTCAAGAACTCTCCAAATAATATCTCTTGGAACCTCATCATAAGCTTTGCATAAATCAATAAAAATAATATGTAGATACTCTTTATTATCTCTGAACTTCTCCATTAAACCTCTCAATAAATGTATAGCTTGCATGGCAGAACTGTCTGGCATAAATCCAAATTGATTTTCAAAAATCTTTGTAATACGTCAACCTATGTTCAATTCCCCCTCCCATAATTTTAAAGTATGGCACATCAACTTATTTCCTCTATAATTTGCACTCTTGTGCATCTCCTTTATTCTTAAAAATGGGGTCCAAAATACTCTTCCTCCACTACTCAGACGTTTTTTAGTTCTTAAAATAATATTAAAGAGTTTAGTAAGCCAAAAACTCTCAAATCTCCTATATATTTTCACACTTCAGTTGACATATCATCAAGTCTTAGATCATCAAGTCTGAGAGTCTTTCCACTCTTGGTTTTCTTTAAAGCCTCCTCAACATCTTTTTTCTAATGTGATAGTAAAAATGAAACATTTTATTAATATTAACGATATTAAGTCCACTAAGATTAAACGTATTTTTAGAAACTTCATTAAAATTCTTATCAAAATAACTCACCTGCTTATGTTGAATATATTTTTCATCTTTATGAGTTAAATCTTTACTTTTTAGCGTCACAGATTGTTCTCTTAGACTCTCTGCGGACCATTTGATAATTTTCCAAGTTCTCTAAGCTTTTATATTTAAACCAATTTTTATAATATAAAATCTTTTATTTTATCATTTCTTGAAAAAAAAAATCATGAACAACCCCAAAATACTTTCAATTATTTTCAAAAAATCAGTATCAAAATTACAAAAAATTGACATCCAAACCTATTTCAACCTGATGTTAATAAAAAATAACAAAATTACAGAATAGAAACAAAAGAAATAGAAAACAACTAAAACTATGTTTTATATTTTTGTTTTTATTTTCGCTTTTGAGAACACGTGTGATTGGTACAATTTTTTTTCATATTCTTCTTTTTCATTTTGAAAAACAGATCACATTACTTTTAAAATACTCAGTATTTTAAAATAACCACCACTGCCAAACATGTTTTAATCCAAATCAATACATAAAACAAAAATTAAAAACAAAAAAACGAAAGTGATCCCAAAGAGCATCTAAACTAAACAAAGCAAATTTGCCCAGAGTACTGAAAAATATAAAAAAAAAGTAACAAAATTTAAATTTACAAAAGAAAACAATTTAATGAAAATTGTTAGCTTCCATAATATAGTTGAATTATCTCTGCACAATGTCCAAACAGCACCCCAAAAAAAATGATGGATAATCCATATGTAATTCATACGGAAATTAATTACAGCTGAAACAAGCACCAAGGATGTAGATGTTTCCCGGTAAAATAGTTAAAAGAAAATAGTACCATAGAAAAAAATGTGAGAGCCACAATTTGAATAAAGAAAATGTAGTGCCACAACGTCCAATGCAGGAAAATAGAAAATCCAGAATGGACGGCGAGAGGAACAATTCATATAGCTTCTAGAGTTATTGATCCAGGAAAGAATTAATTTTAAGTAATTAACATTAAGTAAAACATATTGAAAACTAACAGATCACATCAACAAGGTAAAGGTTGATTAAATTATCAAAGATTTTATATGTAAGGAATGGCTCCATTTATAGAACAATAGAAATTCATAATCATCATCATTAGACTTATTTGCAACAATTTGGGACTCAGAAGTAAGAAGCAAGAAGAATTCAATAAATCATAAACAAAACTAATAAGAAATGAAGAATGAACACTTGTAAATTTGAATTAGGCAAAATGCAAGAGGGTTGCATTGTCTATAAAATATTTGATAGTTGCTGAGAAATCATTACTAGAATATAGAGAGCTATCATGGGTCTTTATAAACAATATATTAACATGATTCTATAGTAAAAAAATAAGGAGAAAGATAATAAAGAAAAGAAGTCATCAAGTTGAGATAATCAGGCCATATCCAATAGTCTTGTTATCAATACGAGCAAGTAACATGTATAAATATTTATTAGAAGTTTGTACGTATGAAACCATTGAGAACAAAATCTCCTAGAATATAGAGAGCTATCATGGGTCTTTATAAACAATATATTAACTTGATTCTATAGTAAAAAAATAAATAGAAAGATAAGCCATCAACTTGAAATAATGAGGTCATATCCAATTGGAGTGTAGTTATCAATATGAGCAAGTAAAATGTACAGATATTTATTAGAAGTTTGTATATTTGAAACCATGAAGAACAAAATCTCCTAATCTAATCTAGCAATTCACTAAGCCTAAATAAATCAAGATCCATAGAGAAAAGCTCCTTCATTAAATAAATCGTGAAGAGAACAAAGCGTAGCAAGTGAGACAATAATGCACAGAACAACTAATCTTGCACTCACATAAATAGCTGCCCATAAAAAATGCACATTTGACGAGGACAAAAAAGATTATAGAGAACATATTCATAAAAATTTATCTTATTAAAGAAAAAATAAAATAAAAACTAAATAATACCTTCAATGACAAGGCAATAGGTGAACTGCAATATGATTAAAAAATACATAAAACTATTAGTTCTTTGCATGTTAAATGTAACTACTAATTCATTATGCATCCATAAAGAAAAGGAGCATAAAACAAGGCCCTTCAACCAAGATAAAGAACTTTAGCCTAACGCATGGAATACCTCAAGCTAGATAGAGGAATCAGTTGAGAAGACAGTTTCTTTATTTTCATTCTTATGGATTAAAACCAGTCAAGTAAAGAGTAAAATAAGATGAACGGGAAAATCAGATTCTGAGTCAGATCATTCCCATATATCACTGGGAATGAAAAGTTCGTTAGCATAAAACTAAATCACATTCTCAAGTCAACAGTTTTTTCCAGTATCTAGGAAGATTACTCAAGTCAACAGTTTTTTCCAGTATCTAGGAAGATTAATAAAGAATAAGACACAACAAAAAACCTCTAATATGATAAATGAGCACATCAATGTACCCAATTTTCTCTGCTTCTACAAGCGTGCAGACATAAACTCAATCCCCTTTAGTAGAGAATGAAATTGGATTGGACTGAGAATTATCTACTGTAGCTTCAAGGGAACGAGTTAGCCAAGCACAGAATAACCTGCTAACCAGATTAAGAAGCTTTGGAGAAAAAACAATCTACAGATAGAGGCCAAAATTCTACAGCTTTAGAAAGACCCAGAAACTATAAAAAAGAAAGAAAATTTATCATAAATACACGTGGAGAAAAAATAGTTAGCATTTTTAGGCAACGTTCATAATAATGCAGGCGTCGAGGATCAGAGGATGTGAACAAAAGAGAACAAACAAATTTTTGTGCAGTTCAACATCATCAAGCATAAGCATAAATTTCCGGATTAAGATTTTGATACCACTAGCTACTATAAGAAAACTATTTCTTAAAGGAAAATATTTCTTGCAAAAATTTAGTAAAATAAATAAGGAGGCAAGTAACAGCACCAAGATTCGTCAACTAACAACTAAACTTCAATCCATCAATCAAGAAACAAGAAAATTTCATCTTTGAGTCAAAA